CCACATACATACTTAAGCATTTTCAGTTGTCACGTTCAAAACAATTTAATGAAATTTCATTCTCGCCAAACAACACAGTAGTTATTAAATTTTAATTGGTATTTAATTGTTTTTTTTACTGAAAAATGCACAAAACGCCTGTGGCCAATATCTACGCTCAAGTGAGAATACATGTATTGTTGCGGTGCTCCAAACTGCTTACAACAGGCGCTCACGCATACTTACATACACCTACCACAAAAGTGGTCTAACCATTGACGCAATTCTATTTGCGACACAATTTCTTATTTACTAAATCACTGGGCACATGATTTGATTTGCTGTGGAATTTGATTTATTCGCGTAAGTGACACAGTTGCCGACTTCATTATCTTTTCATAGAGCATAATAAAATATTAACTTACTTATATCAAGAACATAGGTAATATTTTCTTCTTTATTGCATTACGGTTCATACGAGGAGAGGGCCAATTACAGAGTTTTGCGCCGATTGAATTCTCATTTCTTTGGGGGCAGTTTAAATTGTCATATTTACTATATCTTCTCTGAAAAGATGGTGTAAACACCTCTACGAAAATATCTTTAAGTATGAGCTCTTAATTGTAGCGGGAAGGTCCTCCGCCATACAGTTTTATATTTTTTTCTTGTTATCAGATAGAGCATTAAATTTCCTATAAAATCTATAACAATTTTAAATTCAATCAGAATTTGTACAGTATAAACATCAAGAGTCAAGGACGTTTCCGAAATAAAACTTCGAAGAATAGCCATTTAAGGAGTTCCATCTCACATCAAAAAATTGTCAAAATCGGACTATAATTTTTCAAGGCCCCAAATACCGAATATGTGGATCCCATTGCCAACATATGACAATCTGATGTATATTATGAAAATTCAGAGATAATATTTTTATGATAACAGTATGCGCTTGTGCCAAAGATGGATAGAATCCGGTCAATACTTCTCCTAGCTGCCATATACCCAACATAAATATTTTCGAACTTCCAATTGGTTTTATACCGCATATATCGGTCAATATATGAGTTATCTTAATGAAACTCAGAGAGCATCTTTTTCTGGTAATGATATGTTGTAATCCCAAAAAAAAAATAGATAAAACTGGATTAATACTACCCCGGTTGGCTTTATACCATGTATATCAATCAATATGTAGGATTTCTTAACAAAATTAAGTAAACTTATAATATTAGATATACTATAATGAATGTACAGGGACACCTTAAAAATGTCTAACCAAGTAAAGGCTTCATCGAATTAACCCTTTTAAATTATTAATTAATCAATAGTTGCTTGTGTCGAGTCAAGTTCTTAACTTGCTTCAAATAATATGGAAAAAACGCTCTTTCCCGTACTAAATGAACCTGAAGCTGTTGATTTATCTCAAATCCCGCCTCTTTAAGAATAATATTGTTTCTAAACTGCTTCGGAATATTTTCTTCTGTTTTCAAGTTGATCGGTTTATTTCTAAGATGATCACATTCTCAACCCATGAATTATGCCTTATAAACATAATATTATATAATATATCACAAAAAATCTCATTTACTATCTGAAGCATACGTAGACAAAAATGTTTCCAGAAATTATTATAATTATTATAATTGAATGATAAACTACGCGATTTATGGAATCTCAAATGTATTTATATTGTATTGTAAGTATGTACCTATAATGAGTACGTAAAAACTTATCTACATTTACACACAGATGTATTTACCACGATAGTCTGAAATATACACAGCACACACCCTGTATTTGGGTAGATAACGTACTCGTAAGTAAAGCAGTTCAAAAGAATCACGTAATACGATTATCCAAATGCTTAGCCAAGTACTCAAAAAGTCATCGTTCAGATTTAACAAGAATCATGTGTCATGTGGCATGTTGCCCGTATTTGCTCGCACATAAACACACGGTCTATGTATGCGAGTGTGTATCTCCTCGCACGCTTGCACAATAGCCGGCTGCTCTGACAAAAGAACAGTTATAATATAGACGTTGATTACGGAGGCCGCCAACTTTTTAACGCTGGCGCGCATTAAAATATCGCACACACACACACGTATCTACACGCAAACATAGACTTATGTAATTCATGTAAACGGCTGACCAACTATCACCCCCTCTCATACCTCATACCGCTAGGATTTGCAAATCACTTTTGTTCATTTTTTTGATTGGGAGTCGGTGCGCGTTATGAAGGTCTTAAATTTTTGTGTGGCAACTTAGAGAACTCATTTACTTGTGGCATGTAAACAACTAATCTGTTAACACTCTGGCAACATGATATGGGCTGATGTTCTCGTATATATTCATACATATGTGTGTATGTAATATGTACATACATACATATATGTATATACTTATGTAAGCTTGAAAAGATTGTATTTTTTCGTATACCTGTGTGTAAAGTGGAACTTTGCTTATAACTACTACCATATACATATATGTACATATATTTAGAATGTCATCGTTGTATGGGGACGCCCAACCGCTATCGCGGGTAAAACTAAACCCCCTGACCCGTCACCAACAATAAATTATGGCACAGACGTGCCATGCCACACCGCCATTGCACTAATTCGCCTGGACGTCGAAAGGAAGCCACCCGACCGATTCATTGTGCCTCAGCCACGCTGCCAGTCAGAAGGTGCCAATCTATGCAACAGTAATCATAATGCATGCTACTTAAATGGCACCACAATAAGGCATGCATATTTATACAATGTGTAGATGCTTACGAACATATGTACATACAAACACATCCCGACACAAGCATGATACTTAAAGTTTGTTGCTGCGATTGTTGGTGCCTCTGCTGCCGTTACGATGCAAAGTGTTGTTGTTAAACGAATGGTGCGACTAGGGATGGAAAAGTGGATAGACTTAAGGAATAGGCGAAAGAGTGAGATAGCAATAAAGAAACGAGTACTCGTTTCGGCGAGTGAATTTGAAAAAGCAGGAGGAAAAAAACATAATAATGAATTCAATGCTACAATGTGCACAGTCACAGACGGACAAAGTGAGATGATATTATAATACATATCGAAAGAAAAATTGTTAAATTGTTACTCTTAACAAAATTCGCCATTGATGGAAATAACTTTCAATAAAATAATAGAAACAGGTTGATTGCATCCGATGGCTTCAAATATTTCGTACAAACCTAAGCAGTATTTATTTAATTTTTTTTAATATACATACATATAATAAGTAAAGTGCATTGTAGAAACAAAATATTTTTTTATTTTTTATTTTCTATTGACAAAAAATAATTAAATTTTTTACGCTTGGAATAAATGATAGAATCAAATTAAGAACTAAGAAACACAGAATTTTTTAAAATTATCTCAGTAAAATATTTTTTAAATTAATATTTAATGGTACCTTGTGTACTTTTTAAAACTGTAGAGCACCGACGAGGCTTAAAAATCATCAGATTGGTGAGGTCAATGGCGTACCATTGGGATTTTACTTTTTCCCAAAGCTTTTCATAATTTTAATTTAATCATTAATAAATTATTTTTTGGGCGTCTTACATATATTTTTAATTCAGATACGAAGAAATTGATTTTAGTTTCGTCAGACCACAGTACATTATTCCAGGTTTGACGGGCTAGTGTTACTTTGCGAAATACAGACTTTTTATGATTATTATGATTCTTAGACGTGATAGTTTACTCGCTGAGCGTGCCTTCAAAGCCTTTTCAATAAGTCGATTTCTTGTTGTTCGACTGGACACTGATGCATGCAAGGAATTATTAAGAGCCTTTGACGAAAAAAATATTTTTTTAGGTACGGATCAAAAGGCCATCGAACTTTTAAGATGTGGCTCGTTTCTTGTCCCGTTTCTTCGTTGTGTCTTAAAATGAACAGTAGAAATCACGATTTAAACAAAGTAGTGCATTAATTTCGAAATTTCTCTTATTTGTTTTCCTTCGCTCGTGGCTTGTTCCTATTTTTTCCCCCGCTTAAACACGTGGACACTCATTTGTTCGCAAAATATGGTAATATAAAATATGGTAATATGGTAAATATAAAAAGTAAAATCGACTACACAAGGATATCACAATAAATTTCTGTTATCAGTGGTTCATGTGATTCGGCATGCAATTATAGTACATAATTAACAATTTCCTGTTGGGTACAGGAATGGATGTTATATAAATATTTTCTTAGTATAACAAAAACGCGTGTTACGTATGTACATATATCAAATATCAGTGTATATATACAGTGGTTTTGAGTTGTTTATATATAATATTTTTTACAATTAAGGCAAATGTTTGATATTTTATTATTGATTAGTAATTCATTATTGTAATTAATACGTTTTCTGATTTTATGTTTTTCTATCTCCGAAACCTCTCGTGGATACGCCACTGTTCTGACGTATTGTGAACATCTGAGATATTCTGTCCAATATATGTATTATATAGAATCTTAGTTTGAACACATTAGGTAATTATTTCAATAATATCTATATTTGACCTGTAAAAAAATTTTTTCGTTCACTGTAGAATACATTTTGAGATTCGGTCATACTTACATTAATGAATTTTACAATGCTAAGTAAATAGATCCCATCCAATCGAAGATAAATAGAAACGAAACTTTCGCATACCTACCAATATTAGATTTTTTCCAAAAGCTTCGTATTGTACCGAGCACATTGTTGTTTCATAAAGAAGTTAGGATGAAAGGTCAGTGGTAACATTTTCGCTACTTGCACCACGCACACCAACATTGAGTTTCCCATCCGCACTCTCAGCAATGCAGGCTTATATAAATATGGATTAATACATACGTACATATGTATGTATGGGTACAGTGCACTCGTTTTGTGTGTTTATGTAGTGAGAGCGAAATAGCAAGCCAGGGAACATAAGTAAGCAAGCCGCTTGCAGTTGAAAAAAATGGCGCCGGTTAGAGCGAGAGCACACTATGTCCATGAATTATGGAAACGCCTCCTAACTGTGCTGGCTGAACTTGTTTGGCTGGGCTAAGCGCATTGTTGCACTGAATTTGAGGAGAATCATCGAGGCAACGATACCTAATACCTGTTTGCTTGCCTGCTGGCTGCTGCCTCTACTGCATTGCTCGGGGTATCGATGTGTTAGCGTAACGTACGAATGAGCATACGCTACCAGTTGGTTATCTCCATTCCGTAGTATTGCTTACAATAATACTGGCATCTTGCTATTGTTGTAGTTGTTATTAGCATTGTACCCAGCCGTTGCTTCCGCCACTCTCCTCCTCTACTACCAATAGCACAACACATACAAACAACATCGTCATCGTGGTAGTCGCTGTCGGCTTGGTAGTCAGCTCAGTTACAGGCCATTATTTGATTTTGTTTGTTGACGGTTGCGACAACGACGATTCGAGTGCTGCTCCGATGCCAGCACCGCCGATACGAAACGCAAAACAAGTTTGGTGAAACGAGTCCAATAATTTACACGCAGGCGTCGCCGCAGCAGCTACGGCAGCAACGGGAACAGCTGCCGTATTGGCAGCATCGGTAGCAACACAACGGTAGCTGTGGCACCACCAGTGACAGTGGCTATCACAAACGCAGAAGCGGTGGCAGTTAATTGGCATTCGCCTACTTGCAAAGCATACCTACGCGTGGACGCGCAATAACCCCGTCGCCAAAGTAGCACCGATCCGTTCGGTGTGCTGTGAATAAACCGCGGCCGCATCAATGTTCTATCCGGTTCCGATTGCCTGCGAGATCAAATAGCTGTGGATAATTCGCAAGTCATACGCGACGTAGAAACGGTTTAGTTGATAGCTTCAGCCTACAAGCCGAACTAGAGTAGCGGTACTGTGAAATTGAGTGTGAATTCGTACAATCGAACAGCAAAAGTGTTAAATTTAAAATTATAGATACGAATTGTTATGCAAGTTCCAAGTGTGCTGTGAATTGAGTTAATTAAAGCGAGATTGTCTAAATATTCGAAATCCTCTCTAAATTCACCGCTAAAAGTGTTCATGAGCAATAAAGTGTGGGGTCCTCTCATCAACTGGAAATCGACTATAATCGATCCAATTGATTTCATATTGTGTTTAATGAACTGAATGCAAAGAATGCACATGTTTGTGTGTATTTTAAATTTAACTTCAAATCGGTGTGAGAATTACAGAGCATAAAGATTTGAAGACATTGTTATAGCTTTTGTTACTTTTACCGCCGCTAAAAATTGCAAAAAATTCGTGGCCTGGAATAGTATGCGAATTTGTTCACAGTGGATTCAACGAATAAAATGGCCGTTGGACCGACGGAGGGAAAGCAACCTCCCTCAGAGACATTCTCGCCCACACATCAGATTATAGCACCGAGTCCGATCTTGGCAGTGCCAACACTCGCCTTCTCCGCCGCACAAGTGGAAATTGTCTGCAAAACGCTGGAGGACTCGGGGGACATAGAGCGTTTGGCGCGCTTCCTCTGGAGTCTACCGGTGGCCTTGCCGAATATGCATGAAATATTGAATTGTGAAGCCGTACTCAGGGCGCGAGCGGTTGTTGCTTATCACGTCGGAAATTTCAGGTGAGAAAAATTTAAAAAATAATAAGTTCTACCTCTTAAAAAAATAAAAGTTTAATACGTCTATATTGAAATTATTATAATATTACATAGTGAGTAATGGACGAAACGAAGTTCTCAGTTTTAACTCATGCGAAAGAGAAACCTAGATGCCAGTAATCGTTGTCTGCTTTTTTTTAAATATATGATTATTCGACATATATACTTTTTAATACATAAAAAATCATATGAAATGCTTTGCGTACTAAATTTTATTATATCTCTTTAGTTTTAATGAATATAAAACGTTATTATAACCATATAGTGATCAAAATGGGGAATTATTTGAAAAATGTCGTAGAAATTTCTTGTTGTGTATGTCACAAAAAAGCAGCATCGATTTCTAATTTAGTTTCGTCTATAAGTTGATTTTTACAATGAGTTGAAATCATTACACCCTGAACAGGGTATATAAGTTTGCCACGAAGTTTGTAACAACCAGAGGGAAACATCAAAAGCATCCTACAAAATTAAATATATTAATCATCTGAGCCATGTCCTTTTCTTAGTATATATGCGAACTTGTCTCTCAGTTTCTGAGATATCAATCTAAAATTTTGCATACCTTTTTTTCTCTCCAAGAAGCTGCTCATTTGTCATAACCGGACGACTATTGCATATAGCTGCCATACAAACTGAACGATCGGAATCATGGGCTTTTGTGGAAAACTTATTAATTTGACGAGATATCTTTTAGATATTTGCATGGATTATTTTCTAAAGCAATGATTCAATCTCCGAAGAAATTGTTCAGATCGAGTCACTATAGCAAATAGCGGCCATACAAATTGATTGACCGGTCAAAATAAAGCTCTTGTAAGGAATTTTTTTGTATTTCTGAGTTATTTGAAGTTAACGTTTTTTCTTGTTTTCATCTTCTTTATTCACGCAATTTTTGTAATTTTTATTTCACAAGAAGTATTTGAAATCAAGATGGTATTTTTGCCAATCGGTAAATTCAGATGAAAAGCCGAAAGCTTTTATGAAATCAGAAAAGTAAGTGCAAATGGCAGTATAGCTTATAAAAATGTCTAGTCCCATACATCCGAGCCGCCATCTTGAAAAAAGTTTGAACATCCTTAAAATATTTCAGAGATGAAAATAATACCAGACGCTGTAACGTAGCAGTCGAAGGCGAAAGGTCTTTTGCCCTATTTGTCAGATAACGCAGAAGGCGCATGCCAGAAATTTATCATAAATATCAAGAAATTGTAACAAGAAAATATATAGTGTGTAAAGTCCGTATATCACTGATTATAAATAATAACAAATATATGGATAATATATTCTCACTAAAAAACTCAGAGACTTTGTGCAATTTTATTTGCAGTTAAAACTGTTTTAAACGCTGTTATTGTGGGAGATTTTATTCATACATATATATGTACATGTGTAAGCTGTTGTCAAATATCCGCATAGATTTCCAAGTTGGTAGTAGTCGCGATGTATTGTTTTCTAAATATCCGCCTTTTTGATCACAAACCCTGCTCAAGTGCCACAATGAAAGGAATTCGACCGTAAGTTAAGCATTTTGTGGACGGATGAGATGACACTTGATACTCGCACCAGAGGCGGAGGCAGAGGCAGATGCGGAATATGAGCCAGCAGCACAGCAACACTTCGCTGTCTACAAGATAAGCCCGATAAATGCAGAGCAGAGCGAAATGAACGTGTGTTCTGCTGAACTCGACAGTAATGAGAATATAATGGATTTAAATTAATAAACAATGCTATTAATTTACTAATTAAGATTCTCTAGAGAATTGCCTTGGAGAAGTGAAATCTGGAAATTCGTTTGCCATAACATTGCACAGTTTTTATTGTTGAAAATAAAGACAAACATTTCGCCACATGGCGAACAATAGCATAACCGTCGCCGACGCATTTGCGGTATGGGTAGGGATCTAATAGCTGATCATTTGTGAATACTAAACGCTTTCTGATGCAGCTTTGGAAGTTCACAATTCGCAAAACATAGAGTCACTCACTAGGCGGAAGTAGTTGGGACTCATTGTTCAACAATTAAAATAATTGAATATTGCCCCATTATAATACGACTACAAAATGATGGAAAAATTAACTTCAGGATTACTCTAATTACTTAAGCATTCCTATGAATTGCGTGTTTTTTTTTTTGCATACATATTAAATGTGTGTGTCTGTATATATACGTGTATGAATATGAAATTTTTTCAATGTAATAAGGAGCTTTTAAGGTGTTTGTGTTCCTCATTTGTTTTAAGCGCAAATCATTTTGCTTGTTAATATGTCTCAGCGGTGGATAGATTTATGATCACATTTGATTTTATGTAGTGTGTAGGTTTTTATGCCGAGCTTGGCGTTAAATGGTAATTTGACATGATTTTTGATCAAAGTCAATTCACTAAGTTCTGCAACAGTAATAGTGTTTATCAATAAAATGATATCATTATATTTGAATCGCTTTAAATAGACTTCCGAAAAAAAGCGCTATGTCACTTAGTGTTACAGCTGCAAACTGTTGCTATTGCAATCCGAATAGGAAAATTGGTGATGAAGTCTCGGAAGCATCCAAGAGTTTTCGGTTTGACTTTAAGAACATGAATTATGCTTTCTCTACATATGGTAATGAAAAATAGTTTTGAGAAGTTTGGTATGCATTAGAAAGGCTGCCTCTACCAGCAATAGTTCCCATCTATCGTAATAATTAACCTGAAAACTATTGCTGGCAATAAGCAGTAAATTTTTGGAAATTTGACAGCTAACTTTTTTCTAAAGAGGGCTACAGCATATACAAATATATATGCTTATATGTAAATAATAAATTTTTTTTTTACTGCTGCTTCCTTTTTCATAAATCTAAAAGTTATTATTTTGTTCGAAAAATAAATTCCCAAGCTCAGATCTTCTATTTTCATCGAGTTCCTATCGACTACAGTTTTCATGCATGAGTTCATCATATATTGTGTTCGAAGCAAATAAGGGCAGCACATTTACAATTTAAAGTCCATTTAATCAAAAAACAATACTATTAGAAACAAAAGTTATAAAAAGGTAAAAAACCTTACGCTTCAAGTTTTATAGCAAAAAATTATAATTTTGCGATCGCTTGTGACTTCCTTAACGAACATTAAAGACTATTTGTGGCAGCCGATTTTTATCCGTCTAATCGAGAGAAATTCCAAAATATAGCTAATAATCTGTTTTAATAAGATCTGTTATGGCATTTCGCTGTACCTTCAGTGTATGGTGAGTAAATGTAGCAAAAACAATCAATAGAATTTTAACAGGTTGGTTAAATTTAAAAAAAATTCTTTTAGTACAATTTTTATTATCAATAGAATTTTAACAGGTTGGTTAAATTAAAAAAAAATTCTTTTAGTACAATTTTTATATTTCTCTTTTATATTTAATGGCCCAGTTCATAAAAAGCTACATAAAATATATAAGAAAAATATAAATAATATGAATAATATCAAAAGCTTACTGTTTAAGCAACGGAATAGATTGGATATCTACCAACGACTGGATATTTATTAGGATCAAATTTTTTGTAAAATTTGACATTATAGAGACAATTTTTTTCGGGAACCAATGTGTCATCTATATAAATAATATGGTACTGACTATTTACCCACAACAAAAGATGCGTTATAAAGTGTTTCGTTATTGTACATCGAACTGTAAAGGCACGTTAAATAATAATGACAGTTAAATAAAATTTAATATTCAAAAAAAAAAAAAATGTTCTCGAAAAAACTGCTCCTAAATATACCTTAAATTACATGGATATACCCACACCACGGTAGTTTTACGGCACCAAATAATGACAAATTTTTTAATATACATATGTACATACAATTCATTTTTATATTTGATTCGTAAGCAATTTAAAATTATAGGTGATAAAAGAAGGTGTCAACAACAGATTTATAACAACTTTCTTTGAAAGCTCATGAAAAGTACTCGTGCTAAATGCGACAATCTCCCGCAGAGTGACGCCCTAGCAGGGGGTAAGTCTGCCACATTCGCCAGAATTGTATAAGCGACAATAAATTCTTGGGAATATATACATACAAGTTATCGTAACAAAAATTATAAAGTTGCATATGTAACATAATCCAGTTGTCTAAACGAAAGACGCTGCTTCAGCAATAGCACCTGCACACGCATCCGGTTAAATACTAATTGCTGACGCCGCATCAACGAATCAGCAAAATATTTTATAAAGTAACAAGTAGAATAAGTTACATTTTAGCTTAAGTCAAAAATGTAGTTGAGTTGTAAAATATACTTCAATAAAGAAGGTCATACTGACCTTAAAATTAAATTTTTTTGAATTTTTAATAACGAAATTCATTAATTGGCGCCCAACGTAATGGAAAAATAAGCAGCTAAGCAGACTTTTTCTACCACAATTGGCATCAAGGAGTGAACGAGTGCACCTCCGTACCAGCAGGAAAAGGGAATAAGGCACGGTCACCGGCCATGGAGTGGAACATGATTATTATGTAAGCATAGAGTTAAGATATCTAATAGAAATAATTAAATTTAAAGAAAAGCCCTTGTTAAAAGTAAAGAAGTGAAAAAAAAGATAGTAAAGATAATAAAAGAAAACAAAGATATCTAAGAAAAGAAAAATTGTTTATAGAAGTGAAAAAAGAAAAAAATAGAAATAATTAAATTTAAAGAAAAGCACTTGTTAAAAATAAAAGTGAAAAGAAGAAAGTAAAGTTAACAAACGAAAACAAATATATCTAAGAAAAGAAAATTGTTTTTAGATGTAAAAAAGAAAAGAAGTGAAGAAGAAAGATATTTAAAAACGGATAAAAGAAGTGTAGATTTAAAATAATTAATAAAATATATTCAAATAAATTATCACAATAAAATAAAGGCTTGTACAGCCAATAACAATAATAAAAAATTAAAAATTAAAAGTCGCGATTCACTACCTTTTAAGGGTGACCCTCCGGCTTTATAAAATA